AATAAGCCAGGGGCTGACCAAGTATCGAAGACATTACTAACAAACTCAGCTGATCTGGTCATTGCCGTCTCCCTGAATGGGGACTCCGAGGTGGGTCACATCTACGGTTGAAGCCACTGGCAAACGTGACATAGTCGCGCGCTCAATGGCGCGCGGTATCCAGACCATTACCTTTTCCTCTCAATCTCCCGAGAGAATGGTCCACCGACCCTCCCGAATTCACGCATCAAATACTTCAGCTACCAGCTTCAGTACATCGCTGTTCACCCCAAGCTGTGGCAGCTGTAATCAGTGTACAAAATGTATGCGATTTTTACAGCTGCAGATGGGGGATAATAATAATGATCACTGGCAAGGTTGAACAAAATTGGAGAGAATGGTACCCTTTCTGATCCACATTTGAAGCTACTGCTGTCTCGGACGCATCGGCTTGACGCAGAGTTGAAGTAGTAATTGATACACCGTGTTCTCCTTTGAGTTTAAACTGTTTTAGGAAATTTATTTGGTTCATTTTCCATTAGAGTGTGGTTTTTTTCGGAAAAGTAAGGTACCTTGTGGAAAAACTATGAGAACAGGCCAGTTACTCGTTGCTATAACCAGTGCATGATAACAGAGTGGCAACTTCAGATTTTTCCAAACAATAGTTTCTTGTGCGAACCGCATGAAGCTGAGTCCGGTGATAAATAATCTTTCATATCTTTTTTGTTTGGAGCATTTGGTCTGAATGTTTATTCCAGGTGCCGTTGCTTCTTCTGAGCAGGACTTTTCTCCCGAGAAATACTTTTACTGCTGCTCTCATAAACCAAACGTCAGTACAGGGTAACGGTGGATGCGTGAAATCGTCACATAAAACAGTGCAGTTCATGCATTGAATTCGTTGTCACAATGCGCCCATGGCTTTACTTGACGTCCCTCGCTTGGAGGCTCATTGTACGGCTTTTTCATTTTTAGTTTATTCCAGACCAATTATTGGCCATTACCTTCTGAGCCGCTATACTCTCCGCTTACACAATTACTTGGAATAAACAAAAATGACCGAAGTTGATGCGTTTATGAGAAGCGTTGCTACGCGCAAGTACACATCTTGGGACGAGTTCACATCAGTTTTGCAAACATACATGCAAAATTATCACGTTCAGTTTGTGTGTGTTAGTAGCAAGCGCGGGAATGATTTACAACTAATATACAAATTGGTAAGCTGCTCTTGACTTCAACACAGCAATGTTAGGTGTTTTTCCGCTGTATACGGCATGCCAGAAGGCGGAGCAGCAGTCGAGGTATTCGTCGAGTGTTGTAAGCTGTGTTCAGTATTTTTTCAAATGCCCACAGGTCAGACGATACTTGCTGTCCCGCTCGTTTCTGCGTACGAAATCGAGATGGTTTTTTAACGTTGACCTCATATGACGTTGGGCACAATCACCCACTATCGAAAGAGCTATATGAGCAACTTTCTGTCAATCGACATCTCAGCACGTCTCAGTTGCACCAGTGTCTCGACGTATTCAGGGTTGAAAACTCCATTCATGCGATAAAGGAATATGTGAAAGACCACTTTGGGAAACTAGTCACTACGAAAGATATAAACAATTACCGAAGAAAACTAACATTTGTGCTTAAAAGTAAGCAATTCTATGCAATCAGCGCTATAGGTTTCAGTAGAACCCGCAGAGCCGTCATCTCCAGTCCTCAAACCTCTGGTGCAGAGTATGCTTCACGAGCAGGCTATGAACGTTTGATTTCCCATCCAATGGGAGGTACTTTCTTCCCGTTTCCGTCAAGGTTTTCTGTCACTTTTTGTTAATTTCTGATACCACCGTTCACTGACCTTGATAACAGTTTAACCATACTTTCCATACACACAGCGTCTGTTTCATCGAATGTACATGAACTGTGACTCACCTTACGCTATATATAAAATAGGTAGCGGCAATATGTTCTGAAACTGTTAATGTTTTTGTGTGAAAGTGGCATTGTTGTTGTTGTTGTTGTTGTTGTGCTGCTGCTGCTGTTGTTGTTCATGTAGAGTTTGTTCACTGGCCACTGACTCGTGTGGTGTTGTTTACCTTAGTCACTTGGTTGTTTTAACTTCTACACGGTCAGGTGAATCTGCGCACAGCTGATCGCAAGGCTGGACATTTTAGAGTAGAATATGATGCGCATGGAAGTGCTCTTTTGTGCTCCCAAGATTCGTCGTTCTCATTGTCAAAAAACTGCGGAAAAGCGTTTCGCTTTTTCGGATCAACCACGGGTATCTTTGACTCGAGGTTTCCTCCATTGGGTAAACCCAATCTATGTCAAAAAGCCAATAAGCACTGTACAGCTTTTTCATCCTTATTAGGAATGATCGGCAGTGCGCATCCCGCGAATCACCATGGTGGTCCGTGAAATGTGCACCTCAGTAGAGATAAAACAGCTGTGCAGTATTTCTTGAATTTTGAGCATAGACTTACTTCACTTGCAGACTGAAATCTCGAGTGAACTTCCCCATTCCCCTGCTGTCAACAATCATCTTTGAGTTATCTGATGAAGGCTACATAAAAGATATCCGTGTTATGCTTTTTGCCTAATATACCCGATTAGATTACGCCGCATTGATGCTTTTGCTGTCTGTGGAAAAAGACATGGTGGAAAAAACTGCTCAGCTATAAAACTGTTTCGGTGCCTAGCTGCCATGCCACCCGAAGGAGGCACAATGATACTGCCAGGTTTCCCAGTCATAGACAGGAACAGTCGGGATGCAGTGGTCGGGTTCGAACTACGGATCTTTCGATCAGTAAATTCGCGCTTTAACCACTGAAGCGACTCGTCCCCAAACGACGTGTTAGAAGGGTGACCTGCATCCAACAGCCGTCAGAAGCATGTGTACGACATTGACGAAAGCGTTTTATTTGTGCTTGGAGGGCTTTGGGAGATCTGACACTTCACCACCTTGCAAGATAGTCATCCTTTCGGGATAGCATCTACAGTTTGCCTGGATAGGGCCAGATGTCGCGAACATTTTTTAAGGTATTGTGGAGCGTTGTTTTTTTTCATGTAATTGTCAGTAGAGTGTATTTAGAAGGGGATGACGCGAACAACGTGATGCAGTATGGGTCAGAAAGTCAGCATGATTTGTTGAATGTGTTTAAGATAGATGCGTTTGTACATCGTGAAGTATGATATCATCGCCGACCTCCATAATATGTGGGCACAGGCAGGTAATTCCGTTGTTTCCTGATAGCATAACTCTTGACTATTTTACGTCTAGGACCAGCTTTTATTCACGGAATTCGTCCGGTCCGGGCTGTTACAACTAAGGATTGAAATTCGGAAGGGACAGTTCAGCTTCCAGCTTTCAACGTTCAGAGGGAAGGCATTAACAGACATTAACAGGCATTATCAGAAAAAGCGTTCAGTTGTATCACCCTATTGGTGCCTAACTGCCACCCAAAGGAGGCACGAGGGCTGGGATACTGTCAGGTTGCTCAAGCCTAGACAGGTGATGTCAAGATGCGGAGGTCGGGTTCGAACTGCCATTCAGGGCCATTTAATTTACATAGTGGTAGTTTAACCTGGAGGGGAGCGCTCAGGGATCGGGGACGGTAGCTCTGAAGTGAAATAATCATAGATCTTGTCTCTGTTTTACTTTCGGTGACGTACAACCTAAACACACTCCGTTGCGTAAACTGGTTAATCCACATAATTCGAATGCCAGAAGACTAACTTTGAAAATTTCCTTGCTCCCTACTGCATGCATTGACATAGAGTACATAAAAGGACTTACAGGAGATCCGGGTTTGTGGGGAATTTCCAGGTCATATGTCTCGTGCTTCTATGCTGATATACTCAACTCCGGTCCGATAACCTCCTTAGTATGTTTACATCAGTGTGTGCGTTTGCGTTCAGCTGGTCGATTGAGCGTATTTGTGACATGAGATGGTAGGAGGCTTTTGGTTTTCACTAGTTTGGTTATACTCTTCGGAATATTCCGCCTGCTATCTGGATTATACCGTTTTCAAAGTATTTTTTATGACCTGTGTTCCAAGTGTACGGTGATGTCCAATTCGTTGTTTGGATAACACTTGTGACTTTTGAACCCACGATTACTGGACGAGATGGATGAACATGCCCACATTTCTTTGGTTCCGCTTACTAATCTGGACCCGACACACGAGATGGCTTCGATTCTTGCATGCAAAGACAATGATATAAATCCATTCGAGGCGTTTGTACGTTTGAGTAAGTTATTAGTGACACTAACTGGTACTTTTCAGAACGAAGAGCTGCTGGCTGCTTTAGCTATGAATTCAATGGCAAGGTTCATGGTCACCAGCATATCACATGTCAGTTCAGTGGTGATTTACTATGGTCCAAACTCACTGTCTGGTATACTTGCAGCACATTACCACTATCGCAACTCGAGGATCGATCTTTCGTATTGTCCTTTAGGACGCAGGTATCCCGGTTTTTGTACGTCCATTTCACCTTTCCTGGTGCAGCCTACACAAACGGAAACCATTTATGAAGAGTACAAAGCGGACGAAATACCGATCGTAAATTCGGAAGATAACAGTGCTCAAACGCTCGTGATTGCTGGATCAGCTTTTGGTGAGTAAAAGCAACTGAAGGGTTTTTGTCGCTCCATTTCGCTCTCTTGGTATAGGATTTGTGGTTCCGGACAAATATTTATTCTAAAGCTGTCCGTCATCCTTCACTGTGTTTCAGTTTCTTCCTACAGATAAATGTCATTAATCATTCTGAGTTTGTTTGTTGTCCGACAACGTGTGGGCTATCGGAGTGGTTCGAAGACACCATTAGTCAAGCTGTCGTTTGTCGATATCGTAATAGCTGGCTCACAAAAATTGCCATTGTGTTTTAGTTGACCTGGAGCATCATAGCGAAGCATCATTGTGTAAGTTGAGCTTCGAAACTGGTCTAGACACTGGTGACAATGCATGGACCTGTAAAGCCGATTGCTTCTTTCAGCTTCCCGGATATCCAATGAACGTATCGCGATAGTAAAGACACGTACCTTTGACGTGCAGATCATTGCGTGAGTGACTACTTCGGATTTTTTTAGTGTTTCGGACAAGCAGGCTAAGATCAGGCTCAAATTCTAGTAACTTTAGTGAGCCAAATCATTAATCTAGCTAGCGTAGGTGGTCAAGAAAGTTCTATCCACCCAAAGTTCGTATTGGTGATAATTTCAGTTCCTTCGTGGCGTCCGTCAACAGCGAGGGGTGTCTCGATAGATAGGATCGAAGCTGAGTTGTGAATACGATACATCACCTGCACACTCACTTGTTATAACGTAGCCCTTAATCGTATTCTGTTCAAAGGGTCATCCTTGGTATCCGTCATCCGCGATGCGTTGTAAGCCAAAACTTCGTGTTGTTGGTCGCTTTCAGAAATTGAGTCTACCAATGTCATGCTACCCGTTTTGTGGCTTTGGTCAAGCGATGGAACAGAGTGCTCGTAAATCTACTCACTCAGATGGGCACTCACCGTTGAAGAGCGTAGCAAGGAAAATAAGTTGTTTACTTGACTCGAACGGATACACTGGTCTCTACAATACACTATCCGTTAACATGCAATAAAC